AAAGGTAATGTTACGTAAAACAAAGCAAAAACCAACCCTAAAAACAAAGCCCTCATTTGCCAGCTGTCTAGTGTGTCTCCACAAGGGGGCAGTGCTGCTCTTCCGATGTGGTTTTGGTTTTGTTTATTGGTTTTTTGTTTTGTTTTGTTTTGTTTGTATGGATTAGAATAGCTGGGGTTTTAGATGAGTTCCTTTAGACTCAATTGGACTTACTTCCTGGGGAGGCCTTTTCAAAAGCGGCACATTCCCAAGACTGACAGTAAATTAAGTAAATCTTTAATACTTTATTATTTGCAGTTTTAGATGATAAACATTGTACATGCTTCTGAAAATTTCACATAGGTGTAAGAAGAGAAACCCAAGATTCCTAAGAATGTTGCCATGCATATAAAATGTATCCATGTAAAACATAAAGACGTGGAGTGTTCAAAAGTGCACCCTCACTGGCACACGCAGGCTCATACCATCCCTCCATTTCTGAAATTTCCAGTCGCTTCTGTACAGCGTGCATTCCACATGAGTACAGAAGACCCCTCTCCTCCTCGCTCTTAGGGCTAGAACCTTTCCATCCTGCTCCGGAACCATGGACAAGTCTTTTCAGACTTGAACTTCTGAGTACTTAAACCCAAGAAAAGCCACAGTGTGGTTATGTATGTGTATCTAACTCCACAGAATGTGATCTGATCTTCAGGAGAAGGGAAACTTCGCCTACTCAAGGCCTGCCTCTCCTCTGCCGGGACTCAGGTTTCATCGCCTTGTTTTACACTTACTCACTTGGCCTCAGCCTCCCCTCATTTTCATTTGTTTGCCTTATTCGCTTTGCTTTGCTTTGTCTGGATGGAGCCCTGTGCCTTTGGCCCTGAACCACACTCCCAGCCCCTGAGCTCCCATTTTGAAATTGCATTATTAGGCTCCTCCTGTTTTCTGCATGTGTTTCCTGGAGTAGTTTCTGAGTCTGACTGCACATGGGACAAATGTTCTTCAAATATAGTTGATGGCTTGTTTGATCCGGGGTATAAATTAGACTCCAGTTCACTTTCCTTTGGGTCTTCAGGAGCCTGGCTTTAAAGCACTTCTGATGGGAAGTCTGGTGGATTCCTTTGTGGATGGCCTATTATTTTTTCTTTCTGGAAGCTTGGAAGACTTTCTATCTTTTTGGGGGGTGCTTGAAGTTGTTAGTACAAGGTCTTCTGTCTTAGGGTTTCTATTGCTGTGAAGAGACATCATGACCATGGCAACGCTTTTAAAGGAAAAATATTTAATGGGGTGACTTACAGTTTCAGAGGTTTAGTCCGTTACCATCATCATGGTTGGATATGGCAGCATGCTGGTAGACATGATACTGGAGAAGTAGCTGAGAGTCCTACATCTTGACCCACAGGCAACAGGAAGTGAACTGCAATACTATACATGACTTGGGCATATATGAGACCTCAAAGCCCTCCCCTGTAGTGACATATTTCTTCCAACAAGGTCACACCTACTCCAACAAAGCCACACCTCCCAATAGTGCCTCTCCCTGTGAGTTCATGGAGGCAAATTATGTACAAAGTACCACAGTCTTTGTCTGGGACTTTATCTCCACTTACCATCTTTGGCACCTGGCAGGCTTGTAAAACCTGAAGACTGTGTTCCCCGCACCCCACCCCCAGCTCAGGAAGGGTCTCTCTTATGCCTTTGATTCCCTTTCTTCCCTACAACCCCTTCCCTTTGTATTAATTCCTGTTAAATTAATGGATGCTGGCATCTGCATCTTTTCTATCCATCAATTCCTCTTTCATCTTATTTGTTTTTGTTTGTTTGTCTCGAGACAGGTTTTCTTTGTGTGTCCTTGGCTGTACTGGAACCCGCTCTGTAGACCAGGCTGGTCTCTAACTCACAGAGATCCACCTGCCTCTGCCTCCGCCTCCTGAGTGCTGGGTTTAGAGGCGTGTGCCACCACTGCCCGGCTCATCTCCTTACAACTTCCCTATCACCTTTGATCTGAGACTTCCTGATACCGGGCCTGCTTTTCAGCCATTTCCAGGATCATTTTCTTGTTCATTGTGTTTGCTGCATTTGGGGTGGGGAGGAGACCATCATTTACAATTTCTAGAACCTACTACTTGTTTTGATGACAACTAACTCTTCTTTCATCGGTTGCACGTTCTCTCAAGTCTCTCCAAAGACACTAGTTATTTGAGTTTCCATTTCTTTTTGTATCTTGCTCTTTGCTGGTCTTCTCTCTTCTTTTTTCTTGTTCCTTCTTGAGTGTGTGATTACTCATGGCTGTGCATGCATTTCATAATGAAGCTAACCATATGGATGGCTATGTGGTCTATTCCACTAAAGAGTCCGGCTGGCTTCAGGTTCCACAGTGGTGGGGCCATGTCACAAGCAGGCTTCTACCCACACTTGCCAGGGTAAGCAAGGGCTTGAACAATGGTCTGAGGCGTCCCTGCTGTGCTTTCTGCTTGGGTAGGGTAATTTCTACCCCCATCATTCCCACCCACATGCCTGCCACACACCTCAAGCCCTGCTCTGCTTCTCTTGAGTTCCAACGTTCACAGTTAACATCCTTTCCAGAACAAGCCAGTTATCTCCTGTATAAGCCACCCACTGCTGGTTGCTTCTGGTTGCAGATACGTGGAGGCAGGGAGGTCGTCTAATCCGCTTTCTGTGAAAGCAGGTCTTGAGTCCCAGTTCCCACGGTTGCCCCAGGGCCCTTGCTTTCTCTTTCATGGGTCTGAATGCAGAATTTCACCGTGGCTCTGTTTAGAAGGAAGGTCCTCTGTCCCTATACTTGGGACCTGCCTCTACTAGTCCTTCTTTGCTAGTTTCCGGTGTGCCCTCGGACTCTGGTCTGCTGCTTCCTGTCTTGTTTTCTAGCTTTGGAAAACTTTCATTGCTCTAACAATTTCTTGGATTTTACACTAGCGACCCCGTGACATCGTAGAGAGTCAGATTTGTGTGTCACTTGGTGACTTCAATTTGAATACAGTGTGTGGAGGTCAGGGGACAACTTTGTGGAGTCATTTTTTTTTTTCTACCTTGACATGAGTTCTGGGCATTGCGCTTGGGTTGTTAGGCCTGGAGACAAGTGCTTTATGTACTGAACCATCTTGTGGGTCCTAAACGCCTTTGAAAAATTAATTGGTCTGCTATTTTGTCACAACAGACTTATAGTGTCCTCTCTATTTCCACAGCAATGGCGTGAATGAGCTCCGTGCAGGGGATGGCTGGCCACAGCCCTCAGCATCTTGTGGTTTTGCTGGCAAAATGAATTCTGCCTCCAAGTGTGTACTGCTCCCTTAAAACCCCTCACTTTGTGCTGGGCTGTGTGTTGTAAAACCACTTCCTGAGCCTGTTCATCAGCCTTAGCTCTCCGAGATGACATGGTTATCTTCTAGCCCCACGGGATAACCCCTCCTTGCAACGAATCCAGTAAACACACTGTTTTCTCACCTTGAATCTCTGGGTGACAGGAGGTGGTACTCCAGGTAGAATCATCTTTAACTCAGCTTGGGCACTGCCCACAGGGGTCCTAAAATTAGGCGTCTCATTGACTCCAAGCCCCTGCTTCCTTTTCCTCCCTGAGGCCCACATTCCCACGCTGACCCAGGGGCCTGAGCTGATCTAGGGACAGCCCTGGACACTAGACAGTGTCTCCTCTGAGCAGTGACCCTTTTCTAAAGGGACAGAGAAGTCAGAGAAGGACTGGGCAGCTCTAGAGCTGAGGGCCAGTGTACAGGGTGGTCTTGTGTGGTCAAGCTTGCGTGTCCCTTGTTTGCTCCAGCCCTGCCTCTCTCAAAGCCCATATCCTTTATTCCAGTCAGTCTCCTGCTCCTTGTTGGCAGTGTCTCTGTCTGTATGTTCTGTCTCCCCACCACCCTGACATCTTTGATACACACTCATGCGCACACACACACACACACACACACACACATACACACACACACACACACACACACACACACGGGGGAGAGAGAGAGAGAGAGAGAGAGTTAGTTTCTGAGCCATTTCTTTGTTCCCACAGTTCATGACAGGGCACTCAGGGACTTCTTGAAGAGCCAGTATCTTTAAATAGCTTCTAGTTTTTGAGTAGATAATGTCCTAGCGATTCAAAAATCAAAGTGTCTTTCACTGAGCTGTCTGGCTCTCACCCTCGCTGCACCCCACCCCCACGGCCAACTACACCCCCTAGCTATGAACGCCCCACCCCTTCTTTATGCCACCAATGCCACCATGAACATTTCTGTGTTCTCGCCTCCTTTTCTACACAGGTGTCTAATACTCTGCGTCTGTTATTTGCTGCCATGACCTGGAGGTTTTTAATTGACAAAAGATCCATTTTTCTCTTTCACAATAAAACGAGGATAGCAACAATCCCCGCTTGTCACAGTAATTTATGTCTTGGAGAGAAAAATGTATCACTTTATGACCTCTTCCAGAGAGGAAGTCTCCAGGGGAGGAACTGCATCGGCGAAGACAGAACGCATGAACCAGGAACTGGGTTTGGAAGGCTGAGTACCCCAGGGAGATAGAGAAACTTTCTTCCCAGTGCGCCTGAGAGCTGAGAGATAGTCAGTCTAGATTGCATTAGTGAGGCCAGCCGTCAGGAGAACTGAGCCTAGGGGAGGGATGTCTTCCTGTCCTGAGGGACTTTGGGGTTGTGGACTAGACATCATCTGTGTTATTCCATTGGGACACTTTAAGAACTAACCACGCCCATCCCAGCCACTTTTGACCCCTCCTCCCGCCGCCCTCTCTCTCTCTCTCTCTCTCTCTCTCTCTCTCTCGCGCGCGCGCGCGCGCGTGCGTGCATGTGTGTGTGTGTGTCTTTGTTTTATGTTTGTCTATATCTCCCTTTTTTAAGTAATAAATGTCTAGCTTTATGTATAGCCTTATGTCCACTTACTCTGCCGTTCACCGTATCCAGCCGCCTGACTCTGCCGCTCGCCCAGGGACCCTGTACTGCTCCGGCAGCAGCTTCTGCCTGGCTTGCAGGCCGCCCAGGCCATTATATCATATTATTTTTTTAAAAGAACAAAAATCTGGGCTGTAAATCTATCTGATGGACTGACGTTAAACACCAGAACCTGCACGAGGTATACACTAAGATCTGCTGCAAGGAATTGGCTTATGTAATTATGGGGCTGGCTAGAAGAGCCCAAAATTTGAAACCTATAGAAAGGAAGGCTGGACAGTGGGAGGACTCAGCATCCCTGTGTTCAGGGAAGTCTTCCTCCACAAGGAAATCTACAGGGCAGTCTCTGCTGAGCCCCTGAGGCCTTCCAAGAGATGCTGCAGACCCCTTTGCTGCAGGAATACTGTCCCTTACCAGGGCCCTTGAACTTCGATGCCTTCTTCAAAACTCTGTCATCGCTACACTAAGCCAACATACTAGCATCATCCTAGCTGTCCCAGACTGATGTGGATGGAAGGGTTGCTAAGTGACAGCAGAAACTCGGCGTTGGGTGTTGGAGGGAAGGGTAGAAACTGATTTTATTTCTCCAGGTCACAACATCTCAGGGCGATCTCTAGTTCAATTGCTTAGTCCTTCTACCTATAGAGTGATGCGGTTAGGGCTGAGCTTACCTTGGGCAATATTCAGCGTTGGAGATGTATGGCCGGAAGTGGCCCACAGGGGGAGTAGCACCCCCACAGGGCCCCTGCTCTGCACCCAGTGAGTGCCTCTGCTATTTTTCTCATTCTGGTAACCGAAGGGTTAAAACCAGGCAGCCTCTGCTGGCCTCAGGGGTTTCTCCAGTACTCTGAGGCCATTAATCATCCAGGCCCAAGGCTGCAGGAACGACACTTACCAGCAATTAACCTGCAGTACAGGCCTTCACTCCCGCCCCTCCTCTGCACACCCAATTACTCTAAATTAACATTTACCAAGCAAAGTGCCTGTTAATTGGAAGGGCAGTAGAAAGAAAGGCCACACACCTACCCAGTCTAACTTAATAACCTCAAAGGCAGCCATTAATTAAGAGGGAAATGTTTCTGTTTGGATCTTGCTTAAAGGGCCTGCAGTTAACTTTGTCTGAGCTTTGGAGCTCGGCTCTGCACCCCGCCCTCCCCTCCGACCTCCATGTTAGCCCTCAGATCATGAAAACAACAACTGTCAGTCATTAATGAAACTCCCCTTTGAAGAACATGGCCTCAAGGCAATCTTATCGCCTCGAGGGGGAACTGAGGCCGAGGGAAAGGACGAGAAGGGCCCAGAGTCAAGGGTGGCATACCCATCTTTGCTTGACAGGCTGCGTCCCCTCTCGTCTCTGCCAGACCAGTCAGGTTTGCCAGCTTTCATGACACTAGAAGGAAGTACAGGAGGCCTTTTAGAGAGGACAAGAAGAAATGGGGAAAAGGGACACCCTTGCCCAAAAGGAAATGTTCTAGAAGGTCTTCCGTCCGACTCCTTTCTTGTGCAAGTGGATTCGCTGGCACCTTCATCCCCAGTACGATACCTGGAAGATTCCAATACACAGCTCTTATCCTTTACCCTGCGTCCTGCCCACGTCATACTGGCATCCTTTGAATCGCTTTCTTTTCTTTGCAAATTTGCAACCGAGGCGCAGCTGGGCTTTCCCTGGTTCGCAGCCCGTGTGTCCTTGGCCTATGGTCCATGTGCCCCGAAATTGAAATTTTGAAAAGACTCTTTTTCCCCAGGCTGCATCCAGTCAGTTCTCTGGAACATTCACTGTAGGTTGTTGTACAGCGTCAGGACTTAATTTTTCCATCTTCAAACACCTGTCCTCCTCGGCCCTCATGCAGGGCTGCTCTCTGCGCTTCTGCTGTCCGAGGCCAGGCCTGCAGTCAGTGATTAGAGTCCCCCGAGTTCTCCACCTGGACCAAGCCTCCTGGGTGCAGGGCGCCTGTTGTCAGTTATTTGGGAGGCTGAACTGGGAGGTTTTCTTGAATTCAGGAGTTTGAGGCCAGCCTGGGCAATATAAGGATTCAATCAAAGCAAAGCAAGACAAGCTCCCCGAAGACAAAACATCCCTGCTTTCCCTAGGCCCACAGCCCCCACCTGCCCTCTTTCCTCCCTGTGTGCTGAGCTTCTCCGAGCAGGTGTGGAGCTCCTTGTACGTTCTCTCCCCTCACCCATCCTCAAACCTCAGTTGCTGACCATTTGCCCAAACCACCTCTCAGATGCAATCCTCCTCAAGTTCAAAGTAGCGTCCTTGTCACAGAACCCAAGGACAGTCATTCCAGGCTCTAGTGGGGTTTTAAATAATAGCATCGTGTGGCATTTCCTGAAGTTGGCTACTTCGTCCCTTCTTCCTCCCTCTACCTCTTCCCTCAGCTTCAGGAAACAGTCTACATTTAATTCTGCCTGCCCCCACCCGTCCCCATCTCCATGCCAAGCTCTTCCTCATCACGGTCTTCATTGGAGTCTCTCCTGCTCTGGGGAAGCCATTGCCTACTGGAGGAGACCGAGAAAATTCACCAAGATGTTGGCAATGACTGTGAAGGGTCCATGGTGTGGGAGAATTGTCTGTATTCTGTCAATCATATTTTAATAAAACGCTGATTGGCCAGGCAGGCAGTATAGGTGGGAAAGCCTACTTCCTAGTAGGGGTGGACCAAAGAGACTGGGAGTATTCTGGGGCGCAGGAAGCTCCCTCCGCAGTTCTGCCCAGACCACTGGAGAGGAAAGATGTAAGCTGCCCCGCTGGAAAAGGTACTGAGCCATGTGGCTAACATAGATAATGATAATGGGTTAATATAAGTTACAAGGACTAATAAGAAGCCTGACCTAATGGGCCAATCAGCTTTATAATCTTATGGAGTCCTGTGTGTGGTTTTCTTTGGGATTTGCTGACTGTGGGGTACCGGGCGGGATAGAAACTCCAACAAGCCAGCCCTCATGTTACAGGTCCAGTCTCTGCAGTGAGTTCAGATCCAATCCCTGCTGTTGGGTGCATATTCAGCCACCTGAAGGCTTCTGTCTTGTGGATCTTTATAAACATCTCCGACCTCTCCACTATTATCTCCTTGCCTTCTCTTGGGGACTCCTCCCCTCCAGGCTTCTTATCTTTTTGAGAGGAGCTGGAGTGTGACTGAAGGAGACTCAGCTCTGCCTCCGTCTTTCATGTCCGATCAATCAGTTAACTTCAAGTTCTACGCACAAACTCTAGCCAACGGGGAGTAGTTCCAGGCTCACTTCCGTCCAGGTGGTCATCCGGAAACACCTACATTTTCTGAACACTCACCGCTGGTTGGCACAGCATGCCCACAGGGACAAGGTCAAGCCTGAGACCTTCACACACCAGCTTACATTTAGCTGGGTTCTTCAGGCTCCTGATAACACCAACCAGCATGATGCACTGGAGAAATTATTGCACAGTATGAGGGTCCTAATCTCCGTCTTGATTTTCTCACTGAAAAAAATAATTAAATGGGTCCTGGAGAGATGGCTCATTTTGTTCTTTAAAAGGCAGGCGTGTTCCCTGGCAGGTTCGCAGAGCAGCCGCTAGTCCGACAAGGATGGCTGTGGGTCCCTGCAAGATCTCCAGGGTGGCAGGCTGGTCCCGCCATGCAGGCGGGCGGGTACGGTAGATAAAAGGCTCACAGGATAAAGTAAACAGGTGTAAGGCTAAACATAAGGGTAAACATTTATTACTTAAATGTTTATTTAAACATTTATTAAAGAAGAAGGAGAGAAAGAAAGGCAGGAATAGAAAAGAGGACAGAGAGAGGAAAACACGTGTGCACACGCCAGGAGAGAGGGACAGAAGAGGAAGGGTTAAGATGGCGACGAGGGAGGTCAGAAGTGGCTGGGAGTGGGCGTGGCTTGCCCTTAAAGGGACCAGAGCATAAGAATAACAGCTCAGAGGTGGTTGAGAGAGCACACTATTCTTGCAGAGAATCTGAGTTCAGTTCCCAGCACCTACCTTGGGTAACTTGCAACCTTCTGTAACTCTAGCTTCAGGGGCTCTGACATCATCTTCTGGGCTCTGTGAGCATTGCACTGTTCCCACGTGGACATATGCATAATTTTACATATGTATAATCTTAAAAATAAAAAAAAATCAAATAAGACAAACATTCAACCAATGATGTTGATTCTCAGAACTTTGACATGTTTTCTTTCTTCCTTCCTTCCTTCCTTTCTTTCTTTCTTCCTTCCTTCCTTCCTTCTCTCTTTCCTTTGTTTGTTCGTTTGGTTTTGCTTTTTTGAGACAGGGTTGCAGCCTTATCTTTCCTAGAACTTGATCTATAGACCCAACTGGCCTCGAACTCGAAACCCGCCTGCCTCTGCCTCCTGAGTGCTGGGATTAAAGGCCTGCCCCACCTCCACCATCTGTTTCCTAATTTAGGTCTCATAAAATCTGTAAGACAGGTATTACTGTGGGCTTATCAAACAGATGAGAAAAAAATTGAGTGTTCCAGGATCCAGCTCACAGACAGGGACCCCAGAATGACATTTCCATCAACAACAGTTCACACATATGACAGCGTTCCCTTAAGGCTTCAGGGTCTGGTGACATTTGGCTGACTTCGTTTGTGGATGTGCCGTCTGTCATATTTGTGCGATGATGACATCGCCTAAGGAAGCATTTTGTAGCGGGGGCTTACAGCATTTCTCAGAATGAATCCTCATCCTTCAGCAATAGATGGTGTGGTTGAAGTGGGATACGAACTCAAGTCTCACGTTCCCTGTGTCTTTTTCATAACTCCCCAAGGAGGCAGATGTGGAGACCACTCTGGGGAGCAGGCTGCAGACTCAAGAGACCTTCTTACCTCTGGAAAGTCTTCCATGTACTGCTGTATATCTGGGACCCGAGCCCCCGCCTGCATTCTGGGTCAGAGACAGCCCCTCTCCCACACCTCACCTCAGATGTAAGGGACAGGGATGACAGCCAGGCACAGGATCAATAGCCATCTGCCTGGGCTTCCCCTTGACAAGCTAATCTTTACAGTAAACATTTCATTATCATCTCAGGCGAGCTGCTGCACCTGCTGGTGTGAGAGTGCGTGAGGGGGGGAGGGGTCCCCTACTCTAAGGAGTAGCTCCCATGTCAGCAGGGGTCTTTGGGCCCCCTGAAGCTGGCTAAACTCAGGTAGAGTACCTCTGTTGTGGCGGGGTGCAGACTATCCCCCAGATCGTGGTAGCTTCCGGAGACACGTTCCTGTTTGCCCTCGCTGTGTTCACGGCCCGCACGCTCACAACTCACGGTCCTGTGTTCAGTTCTCGTAACTGTTTGTTTGTTCTCATCCTCCTGGCACACCAGGGGCCTCCTCTACCGGCAACGCTCGCTCCACGAATAATCACAGTAGCAAATGCCAATGGAGCCCTGCTGCCCTGGGATAAGGATCCTGTATGCATTACTCTGTACACCTCTCAGCAGGCCTATGGGTAGATGACCTCAGACGTCCCCATTTTGCAGACAAGCAGAGTGAGGGGTAGGGGCTGAGTTTATCTCACCCAGAGCCCAGCTTCTTAGCCACTTTGCTACCTGACTTTCCCTCACTATGACAAACTACCCGATGTAACAGAGGTAACCTAGGTAACCGGGGACTAAGCTGGGAAAGTTACTCCTGCTCACAGTTTGAGTGACATCCATCCACCCTCGTTTAGCCTGTTGTTAGTCAAAACAGGTGGTGTGTAGTGGAGCGAGGAGCCTCACCTCGCAGCGGCTGGGAAACAGACAGGGGAGAAGGTCAAGAGTCCTTCTGTGAGCGTGTTCTCCCATAGCTAACTTCCTCACTAGACTCTACCTCCTCAGAGGGCTGCCCCAGTCTACAATAGGACCAAGCCGGGGCCAAGTCATGGGAAATGTTTACCTGTTTATTTAAAGTGTGTAAATGTGTGTAAATGTGTGACAGCCAGAGGACAGCCTGCAGGAGTCAGTTCTTTCCCTCTGCCGTGTGTATTCCCGGGAGCAACTTTAGGATGTCAAGGTTGGCACTAAGCGCCTTTACCTGCTGAGCCATCTTGATCCCATCTCGTCCCCTCTCCTTCCTGGTTCGTGTCCTGGACACAAGGTCTCACTATGTAGCCCAGCTGGCGCTGGACTCGTGATAAACGTGCTTTGGCTTCACAGTGCTTTGACTGCTCGTGCCGCCATAGCTGGCCGAGGAGCGAGTCTATCTCACGGGCCTTTGGGAATCTTTGGATTCAGATCCAAGATTAGCATCCACCCCCACCAACATTTGCAGTTCATGAGATGATTTAACTAACATCTGCTGGACTGAAAGGTGGGTCCCCATGTTATGGTGTGAATCTGAACTGCCTCCAAGCCCCAAGCCGAGTTTATGACTTAACTCTAGGTCCTATGTTTCTGGTCCTCCTTTACCGTCTTCAAAGGCAGCAGCTGAGTGACAAGGATAGCCCACCGAGGATGAGTCTTTGGAAGTCATAGCCGGTCCATTCCAGCTGCTCTCATTGCTTCCCGGTCCACTCTCTGTCACCTGCTGGACACAGCCACGGACTCTGCCTTACCTTTCCTCCGCGATGGATGGCAACTCCCGGAAGCCCTGAGTCAATCAATGTAAACTTTCCTCTGGAAATTATTTTTTTCACCTGTTGGCTCATCTGTCCGCAATGGAAACGAAAGGAATACCCTCCAGCACGGTGTTTATTGTTTTGTAGTGTTGTGTGTTATGTACATGGGTTTATTTCTTCTTTATTGTTCCTAAGCCAGGGGAGACAAGGAGACGGTGTTTGTGGTCGGAGGAGTGGTGTTTGTCTCTGTGATGTGAGAGAACTCTTCTCTGGGGCTTCCCAGACCACCCGCGGGGAGGCGGCCGCTCTGTTTCCGTGGACATGGTTGACTCTGGATGAGCTCCGGGAGAGAAAAGGGAAAGCCTGGCGGTCTACTGTGCCGTGTCTTCTCAGAGGATTGGGGTGAACCAAAAGAGGGAGCAGCTGCAGCTGGTGGCTGCCAGGCATGTGTGCTGGCTCCCTGACACTGTTCTCTCGGCCCCACGTTCCTGGGAAATCGCCCACTGGACCTCTCCGAGTCAGACCCTAAGGCTCCACCAGCCATGCCGATGGGAGCCAAGTAACATACTGTGAGAATAAGAGAGTCAAGTTATGCGGTCGTGAAAAGGTGTTCTAGCTGTACACAGTACGTGGACACAAACAAAGATGGTTGAAGAAGACACATGTTTCTGCAATCAGTTGTTCTCCCACAGCCACACTCAAATCGTTGCTATCCAGTGCTCACAGGGGCGTCAGCAGTTCATGATCTGCAGCCCTAATGGATGAGTGCTTGTGATGGCTTCAATTGTGTTGTAAGTTTAGATTCCTATGCTTAAAAGATCTATAAAACAAACGTGCACCTCACCTGTAAGCCCCACTGGCCCAAGAACAGATAACTTCCTGGAATGGGGGGGGGTGTTGTTCATGTAAGATAACAAGCTACGAATTCCCACTTCTGTAGACAAGCTTGCTTGCCTCAACTGCATAGGATGTGCTTAATCACACATAGGCAGGAACTACATCAGGATGCATGCTTGCCCCTAACGGGATGAAGGAGGGTAGCGCATGGCCTTATGGGTTTTCCCTTTTTAAGCTCCTGACTTTGTCCGGAAATCCCTGGTATGGACCTGGTCAGTGTCTATAGTCCTGGCCAGTATTTAATAAAGCTTGCTTTAAATGTGGCCAAAGAATTGTGGTAGTGGTCTTATTTTTACCTGGCGGGATTAACATTCTCTCTCCAGACAATGCTGCCTGATGAGGCAGGTATGCACACATAGTCCTGTGAGCTTAGGGGAGGCTTCCCTGGAAGGTAGGACATCTCAGCAGGAGCAGCAGTGACTCTTGTTCTACCGGGCTGTGCAGTGCCCAGCAGACTGGCTAGTGGCACCTGGGACCTCTGCCCACTAGATGCCAGTACGAACCTCCCTCTAATGTAGTGGCCATCAATGTCTCCAGACTTCCTCCAGGTGACATAATGACCCCTGCACCCAGAACCTCTGTCTTGAGGATAAGGAGCTCAAGACGCAAGATTAATGAATATGCAAATTTTAAGTTTGGGTGTTTATTTGACAAATTACTTGTAGAGAAAAAAGCCAAAAATAACAGCATAAATGTCAAACTAAAAACAACAATGACAACAAAGACAGTCTGGTAATCTGTTAGACAATACATTATCTCATTGATGTATTTTTTAAATACTAGAGTGAGGCTGATATATTTGTAAATATGAACAAGATAGGGTCTCACGGCGGAGGCCTAACTGGCCTGGAATTTGCTATATAGATCAGGCTAGCCTCAACTCACGACGACCCCACCCACTTCTGTTTCCTGAGTACTAGGACAAAAGGTGTGCACCACCATGTCTGGGGTGCTGATTGTTTGGTTGGAAGTGTCACCCCAGCCACTGATACCCCTATTCCAAAGAGTCTGGAATTTTTGGGTGGGGCTTCACCCCAGCCCTTGGCATCCATTTTGAAATGTTGGGTGGAAAGTTCCATTTCAAGCCCCCTCCCCTGGGAGTTGCCTCAGTCCAGACTCCACCTCCGAGAGAGCCTGCCAAATGGTGACTCCTCCCCAGAGAGGGTCCAGACCACTCCCACAGGCTATTTAAACTGCTCCCCCCAGAAAGGATGCACAGTCTTGCTGGTTTTCCTTCTCCCTGTCCGTGTTTTCCCACAGAGCTACCCAAGAGTGCTGGGCATCCATCAAACCTGGGCTTTTTCTAATTCGGTTTGATTTGGTCTGATTCGGATTATTGCTTCGGTGGAGAGGCTTAGTGGGCCAAAAAAAAACTTTATACTGATAACAAAGCCAAAAGCACTGGGTGCATTTATTGGACACTGCCTATTTGATAAGCTGTTTTTCTTTATTGAGATCAAGCTGTGACCTGCCCTAAACCACTCCATGCTATGTACAGCATTGATTATTCAGACTGAGCCTTGTCCCAAGAGGCTGCTCTGCCCAAGCAGCTTTTGTCACCATTCTGAGGTTGGCGGATGACTGTGAACCTGAACACATGGCTGGCCCCATTTGTCTTGGACCAGCCACATAGCACAGACTGATGAATGACTTATTCCTGGGAGTAGGATGGGTGCCACCATAGGAAATTATTGATGTGAATATCCATAGAGTAAGGACCATAGATACTAAAATCACAACAGGAAAACCAGGCCCAAAAACTTGTTAGTCACACCAGATCAAGAAAAGGGTGTGACTACCTCACCCGTACCCTATAGGGAGGTGGACACCTAGCATTGCGCCGGCAGCAGCCACCACAGGATTGTCATCTGGTCACTCAGAGTGTGTATGTTTATATGAGTAAGGAGGACCAGTACGCATACAACCCTTCCTGCCCCAGGGGCTTCAGCTCGATTGTGCCCACTGTGGACATGACCTACTCACTGCCTTCTGCCTGCTTGCCAGCTCACCCACCTGGACCTGCCACTGTTCTCCATCTGCCCATCCCTTCTCCCAGCCCTGGTCTGTACGTCCCCTCGACTCCCCGCTGCAGATCCGCTCTGAGGCTGCAGGGGGCGCTATGACCGGCAGGAGCATCTGCTGCTGTTTGGATGTCATCACTGGAAACCGTATTCGATATTGGCTTCTCCGGCCTTCTGAAGTCTCTTGAACTCTGCTGTGATCTCCTAACCCTTTTTGGCTATGCTGCACCCTACACACACACACACACACACACACACACACACACAGAGTGAGAGAGAGAGAGAGAGATGCAGACACACACACACACACGCACACATGCACACACATGCTTACATACTGTGCAGTGTGATCTGAGAGTTAGGATTAGTAATTACAATCAGAATAAAGGAATCTGTGCTCAGCCCTGGCTCGCAAGGAAAGTGGAAATACCTGGCAAACTGCTGCCATAGAGACCACTGTACCTTGTAAATATATCGTTAGTCAATCAGTCCTGACATTATGCAAGGACACAAATGTGCTTGGTTGTGTTTTTGATGTGGTGTGCTCACACTTTGAGACTTTTCTCTGGGAGTTTTTTTTTTTTTCTCAGTTTTTCATGTCAGTTTTTGTTCGTTTTTGAGAGAGGATCTCACTATGTAGCTCTGGCTGACCTGGAATCATGGTACCTTTTAATTGGTATTTAACATGTATCTGCCTTTCTTCTTTTGCTGACATCTTTACATGCCGAGTCCTGTGGCCTCATCAGTTTTAAAATCCTGCTGGAGAGAAACATCTAGGCACAGCTGCCTCCCCCAGGAAGCCCTCACTGGCTCGTCCTTGCCTCCTACATGTTCCTAACTCCTTATGCTCTTTAACATTAGACAGAGCCTATGGATGTTGCTAGCATTTTGTGCTGGTCTGAGGCAAACGTTCCAGCCTTGAGAACAGTTGCGGGAGGGAGTCCTGACCTGGGGTCTGCTGATAATTAGTTCAGGTTAATTATTACCAATCGGTAGATGGGGTAGCTCAGGAGCCACATCCCCCAAGCTGGGCCCTCTGGAGCTTACCTTTATGAGCCTGCCCCTCGAGGGAGGTCTTAGTGTAATGAATTT